GTGACAGGATCTAATCTATCTCTTCTTGGACATGAATTTGGGCCATAAAATAATTATAACACCTAGAAATATTCTTTATCCTTGAGTTCTTCCTCCCAACTAACAACTTCTTTATTCGCTCCTGAAGTCCATTACCTTGTTTTGCAATTTTTTAGCTTGAGACCTTGTTAAAGGTCCTCTTTGAGATTCTAAAGCTTCATCCTTATCTTTGAATAGATTTGAGATTCCTAGGATGCTATCATTCCCCTCTTCTTGAAGAAAATTCATCCTCGAATTTCGACCTTGCAAGAAAACGAAAACATGCACTAGTAAATTGCATCCACTAATCTGAAAAAAATGGTAAGAATAAAATAAGATAGTGACCATGTGTTCACTTAACCCAATTAAGCCTAATAGATGTAAATACTCCTTTATAAAGCATATGGACATCATCATCCCTATAAAATTTATGCTGACTTAGATTTGTCCCATAAAAACCTCTCTTAAGGTAGTCAAAAGATGTGCATGACAATGAAATTACAAAAGATTAATCACGCATCCATTTAAAACAAGTATCTCTACCATATTTATCAAATAAGGCACTTTTATGATATAGCCAAGTATCAATTACAAATCTCATGCATTCTTCTACATGTAAGCTATTCAAAGAAGCACATAAATTCACAAGAAGGTTAGAAGAACCCATAATTCCCAAAATAAAAGTTTCAATACATTCAAGCTCATGATTATAACTTTCCCAAGTAATATTCTCAACATCAAAGGATTCTAAACAACTTCACAAAGCGTCACAGAAAGAGTCATAGATAAGCTCATGAAAGAGTATTTGATCACTAACGTCACAATAATCATTCATAGCCTCTTTACTAGTATCAAATACTTTTACATGCTCACAATCAACATCACTAGAAGAATGACTTCCTATCACACAACAAAACTCAGATTCTAGCAATTTATCACATGAAAACTCATTTCCAAGTCTCTTCTCATAAATTTCATGCCTCTTTCCACCAAGTTCGAACATATAATCATCTATGTCATACTCAATTTCAAAAGGAAGCAAATTACTCTTGCACTTGAACTTAGGTATTACAGTTAATGACTTGGTGTGCATCAAAATATCATCATCCACATAAATTATAAAGTCACCAACATAAGAATTAAGAGTATAGTTCATTACCTCCAAAAATACCTTAGGTGTTCTAGAATGCCCAAGAAATCGAATGAACCAATTATACATGCCATACTTGGACTTATTTACCAATGGAACATCATCACCTTGTATTCTTTTATGCAATGGCTCCAACTTAGCAATGTCTTTAGGGAACTCCATATCATAAACCTGTAAATAAGGATCAAAATAGTCAAAAGATTCAACAACAAAGAAATTAGCCAAGCTTTTATCTTCCACCATCCAACAAGAATAACTTTTGCCAAATTCATGTGGGAATTCAATTGGATTCGTTGCCACCATCTCTTGCGACTCAACTATCCTTTCAAAAGGTCTTTCAACACTTGCCTGCACGAAATCACAAGAACTAAAACAAGAAAGAGTTAATGGGTTAGGAAGTAAAGAAATTTTTTTCTTGCTTACACTCTCTTTTTATCACAAGACTAACTTTTTCCTCACTCTTAGCCTCTTTTCTCTCTCTAAAGTTTTTTTCTTTTTGTTCACTCAAACCCTCCTGTTTTTCTCTCTCTACCTCACAAATTTTTTTAATCTCGTTGCGTTCTCTCTTTTCTTTTTTCTCAAGATCACTCTTTACCTTACACGAAATCCCACTCTTTTCACTCAACACAACCTCTCCTTTTTTGCTCTCTTGGGATGTCAACATACACTCACTTAGTCCTCTCATTCTTTTCTCTCTCATATTTTTCCATATTGTCTTTAACAGTCTTTTCATCTTCACAAATTTGTGAGGGAGTCAAAGGTCCAAGAATGAGTTTCTTCCCGTTAACCTCAAAAGAATATCTATTTTTTTCCATGTTATATGAAGCTCTTCTGTAGACATTCCATGGCTTTCCCAACAAGATATGATAATTATTCATGGGAATCACATCATACCAGATCGCATCCTCATACCTTCCAATAGAGAATAGTAATAACACTCTTTTATCTCTTTACTCCTCTCAACATGTAGGGTTCAATATGCTCAACATAAGGCAAGTTCAATTTCTCAACCATATAAGTGCTAATTGAGTTATAGCCGAACTCTTGGTCAATTCTAAGGGCACAAATCGCAGACATCACTTTAGCTCTTATTTGAAAAATAAATTTACCATTGTCTTCCTTTCGTTCGGCATATTGTAAGTTCAACTTCTCAAAGTGTTGAGTCATAGCTCGCCTCCTTTCTTCGTAACTACCTGTTTGAAACATCTTGAATAAAGATTAGAAGAAATATGTATATCTAAAATTTGGCTTTTTCCTTTTAATGTTCTCACCTCTCTTGCCTTTTTCCACTCAAAGCAACTCTTGGTTGTTAATCTTTAGATTTATTAATAAACCTAACAAGTCACAACCCGCAGTGATAAAAATAAGGAGTTAGAAAAAGAAAAGGAAAGTGGCGGACCAAACCTAGAAGGAATAAGAATTGGTTAGTTTTAAAAGAAAAAAGGAAAGATTTAAATAAACCCAAAACCCACAAGAATAAGGAAAGAAGTTACCTTAATCTTCAAGAACTAGGATCCCCTCTTCTTGTTTCCTTTCTTGACTTGGAAATCAAATAATACTTGAATTCTGAAAGTAATAATGAGCAATAATACTTTTTTGGGGCTGAATTACATTTTTTTTTTGCACAAGAACCTACCAAGATTATCAAGATTGAAATAGTGATTAGCCTATGCTCCAATACCACTTGATAACAACACGACAGGGGATTCAAGAATTAGTAAAGAAAAAACAAGAATATCAAGAAACGTGCGGAAGATAAAAGAAAAAAAAGGACTTAAAGATAGAATGAATTCAAGAAATTCTTTCTTGAATTCAAGAAGTCTAATCTTGAAGTTGAATCCTAACAACAACAATTAGCTAACAAAGAACTAATCGCCTTTGGTAGAGAATTAAAAATAAGATATAGATTGTGAAACCCGACCCTTTAGAATAACAAGAATAACAATAAGCCTAAACTTATCACCTTTATTGAATACCTAGAAGTGATCTAAGATTTCGAAAGAGTTTAATCTTACCACCTTAAGTTGAGTCTTGAAGGTTGAAGAATAAATTCAAGAGTAGACACACACAAGAGTGCAAAAAAACTCTCACAATTTTTATTGATAATAGTCTGAATAATCTAAGTCTAAAAACAAAGAAGACACCCATTTATATAGAGAGGGGATCACAAAATTGTACCTAAAAAAAACAAGAAAATAAAGTGCTAAACTACTTTGGACAACAAGTCCAACTACCTTAGGAAAGGAAAATACTAGGAAGCAAAAACCAAGTCATTCTTGGAAAATAATTCCAAAAATCTTAGTAAAAGGAAAACATAACCCTAACTAACTAGGAAAGCAATAAATATAGTCCATAATATATGGAAATAAGTCCCAAACCAATCTTGGATAGAATCTTGAAAATCTTGGAAATCTTGAAGAAACTTTGCAAGCAACTTGCACCAACTTGCACTCAACATCTAGCATGACTATTGTACCCTTATTGGACCCCAAGTAAGTCCTTTTTATGCTATAAAAACGTGGCTTTGTGTAGGACTTCATGGGCTGTAAGTTTGGACATATTTTAGGTGCCAAATTGGTCCAACAATGGCTGATTTGGACCTTCTTCAGAGGATGTTTCTTGGGATCTAATCCACCTCTTCTTGGACATGAATTTGGGCCATAAAATAATTATAACACCTAGATAACTCATATCCTTTATCCTTGAGCTCTTCCTCCCAAGTAACAACTTCTTTGTTCGCTCCTGAAGTCCAATGACCTTGTTTTGCAACTTTTTAGCTTCGACCTTGTTAAAGGTCCTCTTTGAGATGCTAAAGCTTCATCCTTGTCTTTGAATAGATTTGAGCTTCCTAGGATGCTATCAGTAAGTATGTTCCTATTACTTATCAAGGCAGCTATAATCTCACAAGAGATGATACCATACAAAAATTTAGATATAACTTACTGTCAGCCTTAAAGCTGAGAAGAGAGTTGCAATGTTCAATGAAATTTTTTCCAACATTTTGTGTCTTCCAGGATCTGTACACTGGGAGGGTGAAGAGTATTGGTAAGGAAAAGGGTGGCATGTATCTCCTAATCCCAAGAAAGACAGACAAACACGAGGAGACATAAATGATTAGAGGTTGTCTTGCAGCAGGAATAAAGATTCATGTTGGCGCCTGGCATAGAAGGCTTGGACACATTCCAGTAGCAGTCATGAAGAAGCTGAATTTTCTAAAGGCTAAAGACTTCCTGGGTTGTAGTCTCAATAACTGTACTGTATGCCCTTTGGCTAGACAGACTCGAAAACCTTTTCCTCTTAGCAACAGTAGAGCAAGTGATGTTTTTCAATTAGTTCATGTGGACATTTGGGGCCCATATAGAGTTCCAACATGCAATTGTAATAGATACTTCTTAACACTTGTAGATGATCATTCCAAGATGATTTGGGTGTTTCTAATGAAATTGAAGAGTGACACTACTGTTTTGTTGAAATCATTCTTTAAATTGGTGCATGTGCAATCTGGAAAGGTCATTAAAATGCTAAGGACTGATAATGGTGCAGAATTCTTTAGTAAAGAGAGTAAGGATTTCCTATCAGGTTGTGGAGTCCTTCATCAAAGCAGCTATCCTCACACTCCACAGCAAAATAGAGTGATGGAAAGGAGACATAGGCACATTCTGGAGGTGGCAAGGGCACTGAGATTTCAAGGAAACATTCCACTACATTTCTGGGGAGACTATGTTTAATAACTATCTACCTTATAAATAGAGTACCATCCTCAGTTCTGGGTGGCAAATCTCCTTATGAGGTGTTTCATAAATCTAAACCAAGCCTATTACTTTTGAGGGTCATGGGTTGCCTGTGCTATGCCACAGTTACAAAAAAGATTGACAAGTTTTCACCTAGAGCTGTAGCAGCAGTTCACATGGGGTATTCGGTATCTCAAAAAGGCTATAAGTTGTATAATTTTAAGGCCAAGAGATTTCTTGTGAGTAGAGATGTGACATTCCAAGAGAATATTTTTCCTTTTCAAACAATGAAGAGAGGTGTAGACTTGCCATTGTTTCTGGAAATCCAAGATATTCAGATGATTAACAGAAGGGCACCTGCACAAGTAACAACTCATGGCACAAATGAAGTTGATGTAGGACAGAATGCAATCACCACACTTGTACCAATGCATGATGAACCAGCTTATGACACTCAGTTAGCAGTAGTTGATGAACATGCATTTGTTGAACAGGTTCAGCATGATGAATTGCATGCCACTGAGCCTACTATTCCAATAACTCCACTAAGGAGATCTTTAAGAGATCTAACACCACCAACATGGCTGAAAGACTATATCTATCCCGGGAAAGGAAGCTCATCCTCCAACTGTATCTATCCCATGTCCAACTACTTAGATTACTCTTCTCTCTTAGCATAATATCAATCGTTTCTGGCTGCTACATCTGAGATAGAGCCTGCATCTTATGTTGAAGCAATGAAGGACCCTAGGTGGATTAAAGCTATACAGACAGAAATGATGCTCTTGTCTTAAATAACACCTGGGAAATAGTTGAAGTACCTAAAGGCAAGGTTCCCATTGGATGTAGGTGGGTGTAAAAGATCAAATATAAATCCAATGGGGAGATTGAAAGGCTCAAGGCCAGGCTAGTGCAAAGGGTTATAGTCAGCAAGAGGGACTGGACTACCAGGAGACATTCTCTCCCATAGTTAAAATGGTCACAGTGAGGGTAGTTATTGCTTTTGCAGCTATGAACCAGTGGAACCTCTATCAGATAGATGTTTACAATGCTTTCCTTCAAGGTGATCTTGAGGAGGAAGTCTACATGCAGCTTCCACCAGGGTTTGGTAGCCAAGGGGGAGCAAGGCTTACAGACTACACAAATCCTTGTATGGGCTTAAACAAGCATCAAGACAGTGGAACTTGAAACTTACTGAAGCACTGTTGAATGCAGACTTTGTGCAAAACAAGCATGATCATTCTTTGTTCACCTTGAAGAAATATCTAAGCTTGTCATCATTTTTGTTTATGTTGATGACCTTCTTATCACATGAAATGATGCAACTCTGATTCAAGAAGCCAAGACCATACTTCACAAGGCCTTCAAAATTAAGGACTTGGGTCTTTTGAAATACTTCTCGGGAATTGAAGTTAGTAGATCACAGAAGGGCATATTACTATGTCAAAGAAAATATGCAGTTGAACTGATAGCAGAATTGGGATTAGTAGGATCTAAACCTGCAATTACTCCAATGGAGCAAAACAGGAAGTTGACAACGGTCGAATATGATGCACATTGCAGCTTGAAGGATGATCCAGCACTCACAGATGTAAAAGGATATCAAAAGCTCATAGGGAAGCTTCTTTATTTGACATTAACTAGGTCTGATATTGCCTGTACAGTGTAGACTTTAAGCCAGTTTATGCAAGCCCCTGAAAGGTCTCACTTGGAGAATCACATAGATTGGTGAGATATTTGTAGAATGAATCAGGATTAGGCATTCTTATGAGTGCAGATGGTGATATGACTTTAAGAGCATACTGTGATGCAGATTGGGCAAGGTGCCCCAATTCAAGAAAGTCAGTAACAGGTTACTTAGTAAAGTTTGGAGAGTCTCTAGTCTCATGGAAGTCAAAGAAGCAAAGTACAGTAGCAAGGAGTTCAGCAGAATCAAAATATAGGAGTATGGCACTAACAATTTCTGAATTGATCTGGCTGCTGGGAGTTTTCAAGGAACTGGGAGTTGAATTATCCATTCCAATTCAGTTGTTCACTGATAGTAAAGCAGCAATACAAATAGAGAGCAATCCAGTGTTTCATAAACGAACCAAACATATATAGATTGATTGCCATTTTATAAGAGAAAATGTGCAAGAAGGATTCATTCAACCTGTATATGTCCCAACAGAAGAACCGGCAGCACACTTGTTAAATAAGGGACTTGGGAGTGTGCAGCATCACCACCTGATGTGCAAGCTAGGTGTTTTGAACATCGTCATGGCACCTAGCTTGAAGGGGGGGGGGGGGGGAGGGTGTTGAGATGGCTAGAGTGACAGCTGGTGACAGTTGTGAAGCTGAATGCTTAGAGGGTGACAAAGTTAGTTAGGTGACAGTTGTGTACTGTAGGAGAGTACACAACTGTCATGGCACCTAGCTTGAAGGGGGGGGGGGGTTGAGATGGCTAGAGTGACAGCTGGTGACAGTTGTGAAGCTGAATGCTTAGAGGGTGACAAAGTTAGTTAGGTGACAGTTGTGTACTGTAGGAGAGTTAGTTAATTAGTTAGTGGAGTAGGTGTTAATTATATATACTCATGTGTACAGTATGTTAGGTGATTAGCCATTGTAATCTTTTACTTTCTCTGCAGTTGAGATTCAATTAATCTTCTTCTTCTTCCTTCGATTCGATCTAAGCTTCAATTCTCCANCTCATACTAAGTTTTTAAGAGAGTAAAGTGGACAATATTACAACAAACTATAAAGAAGCACAATTTGAAATAAATGATATATGTCGTTGCCCGTAGAAGGAACAAAACATACCAGATGTAACACATAGCAGAAGATTATTTTGCCTTGTTTTTTATATTTAAAAAGGAAAAGGCAGTATGATGCACAAAGTATTCCGCATTCACGCAAGGGCACGGGAAGGGCCGCATTTCAAGGAGTGTGATATAGACAACTATCCTAATGCAAGCATTAGTGGCTGCTTTACAGCTCGAACCCATGACCTATAGTGTCACACGAAATACTTTAATTTATAGTTTAAAATAGTTGTTTTTAATTATCTTTATGATAATTTGATTGTGTCAAGGTTAATTTCAAACACCTTGCAACTTTATGTAGCAATGGGCCATTAGCATACTACAGTAGCGGAGCAAGATTTTTCATTAAGGAATATCAAAATTTAATAAAATAAATACACAAATAAATATAAAGAGATTCAATCAATAATATGTATACTTAAAATATAATTGTTACCGATTTAAATAATATAATTTTCCGGCAAAAAATGTCAATTAAATCCGCCACTGGCTGCTACTTGTGTTGTGGTGGAGCTTTCACGAGGCTGAAAAGATCTTTATTGACTTTGATTTGGCAGTTCACGTGGTGACAATCTTCCTCTGCAAGGATGGAATACGTAATACATGCATTGATTCACTTTCACAATTCACAACTATTCCTTGAATAATGTGATAAAGTTGGATAGAAATCTAATTTTAAATTAAAAAAGACGAGTTTGTACATGCATGATGCTTTTTGTTTTGAAGATTGGCCAATGTAATCGATTTGAAGAGAAGATTAGATATGAATTGATTGCATCTAATTAAATACATAACATAATTTTACAAATTATATAAATGTAATACAAGTTTACAAATTTGTATCCTTGAAACTATTAAGATGTCACCAATATATACATAATATTCAAATTTATATATATAAAAGCACTAACCAAGTTTACTGAGAAATAAAAAGTTCACAAACCATAAATTAATGTGAACAAGTAAGAACAAAACATCTTAATATATATTATGAAACCATGTTTGTAATATTGTATGTTTCAACTTGTACCCTTATATGTCTTCCTTTGTTTTTGCCTTAATGTTTCTGATACTTGTAGCTCTTGACTCCTCGAACGGTGGTTTCTAAGTTTTTCGAAGCCTGGTGAGAGTACAACTTGTTAAGGGTGTATGCGTTTTGTCCGAATGGATGAAGGAGTTCTTATCGACGGAATCGTTTGGCACCTTAATATCGACTCATCCCATCCGATCCTGGGATTGTAGAAGGTCCCAAGGGTTAGGTATACCGGTCTTTTGTTATAATTCCTACTAAATTCCTTCCATTATTCGAAGAGATAATAAAGAAAATGTCAAGATATCAATAATTCTAGACATCAAAAGACATATATGTGTACTTGGAAGTTGGAACATGTGAATTTAAGTAGCTATAGCCTAGTCTAAAAGAAACAAATATTCCAGACATTAATATTGAAGGGGTCCAATGTTCCCGTGAACTCATTTTGGAAGGTAGGTAACTTCCAAAAAGGGCCTATTAATTGTTACTGTCCCTGCCAAACAGACCCTTACAATCAACTAGGAGAAAAGCAACAAAACACAACTAAAAGTCCATAATTTATCGTACCAGATTTCGATAGTGACACCAAGACCACTATCCAAAGTTCAAAATAATTATTAAAAAAGGTGACAAGAAATGTCTAAATCTATTATAAGGAGGTAATAATGATTTATGTCTCATTTTATTCTCTGATTGAGTAATTTCGTTTCTATAGTTTTCTTTTACTTGGAGATTTTTATTACTCCGTATATACCCTGAGTTTCTTTCTTTCTACGTAAACTTCCGTTGGCATTTCTTATGAATAACCAGTCTTTCTTCGTTAAAGATCTCTCGATATTTTTCTAAATACTTTTCTAGTTTTTCAGTTGCATAGTTAAAAGAAGTTAAATTTTTTATACATAAAAAGAAAATAGAAGCCTTTCTCTCACACTATACTATGCTTCATTTGGTAGAGCAAGAGGTCTTATTAGTGACAAACTAGGCAACCGTTTAGGTCAAAGGACTAGTGGCTAGGTCTCAAACATATAAATAGAGAGTAAAATTCTTGAACAAGTATTAAGTAACAAGAAAATTACAACGGGAGAAAACAACATCCACAATAGTCTTTTAGAACTTAAAAGGTCCTATTAGGGGGAAAAAATTCTCTCGATTATTTTGTATGCTTTTTTATATTAGAAGATTGTATATATATATATAAGGAAATGAGATTATCAACTATCCTCATTTTCAGCGATATTTTACATTCTTTGACAAGTTTTAAGTATATTTTATAAATACCCATCTCTTTATTCCCCGTTCAGTAATATGTAAAAACTTAATTGACACATTTTTATTTCTTGGTTTCCTATTCCCTAATTGGTAATTATTCCTAGTATAAAAGAGAAAGCAACCCTTTTCATACAACTATGCTTCCTTTACTAGACAAAAGAAATCTAACAACTCAAGTTCAATTCCTTTTTATCCCTTAACCCCATACCCTCTTCAAAACCCCAAAAGAAGAGAAAGTGAAAAAGGAGATCAAAATCCCTTTAATCAAGAATGTCTACTTGCTACTTCTTATTAATTCTTGTTTTCTTGATTTCAATTCAACCAACCATTTCCTCATCATCAGTTGATTTAATCCAAAAAACATGCAAGAACACAAAATACTATGATCTTTGTATATCCTCTTTAAAATCTGATTCCACAAGCCTCAAAGCAGACACAAAAGGCTTAGCAACAATTATGATTAAAGTTGGAATGGTCAATGCCACAGCCACAAATTCATACCTATCTTCTAAATTACTACTTAACACTAGTAGTAATAACAACACTACAAATAATGATACAGTTTTAATGAAGAAACTTCTTAAAGATTGTGCTGAAAAGTATGCTTTTGCTGCTAATGCTCTTCAATCTTCTCTTCAAGATTTAAATGATGAAGTTTATGACTATGCTTATATGCATGTTATGGCTGCTGCTGATTACCCTAATGTTTGTCATAATGGATTTAAGAGAAATCCTGGAGTTGTTTATCCTCCTCAACTTGCTATTAGAGAAGATGGATTTAAGCATATTTGTGATGTTGTTTTAGGTATTCTTGATGCTCTTGGTTGGTGATATATTTTATCTTTTTCTTGCTTCTTTCACGTGATTTTGTGAATTGTAAACTTTCCTATTATTTAATTTTCTGTTTGGATGGTCTTGTCTATGTGTAGATTTAAAGAAATGAGGTCTTGGATGTTGCCCTTGTTTACTCTTTTTTTCTTTAGAATTTACCTTCTAACCTTGAAAGTGTTAATAAGTGTAAGAAGAATTTTTACATAATCAGATTATTTTAAAAATTAATTACAAATAATTTTTTGTAAGAAGTAAAATTAGTAATCGAGAAAAAAATGATAATTGAAAATACCTGTTTATAACAAAATGATATTAATATTAGTAACCTTGAATATGATATAGATTTTTTATTATAATAAATTTACGTATATTTTCTACCCTATTAATATATACAGTCAAATCTTTTTATAAAAACATCCCTATATAATAGTCATTCACTATAAAAATCGAGTTATTTTCGGAATCGAATATTATATTATGTTATAATATATGTTCTTTATAACATCATTTCATTATAGCAGTTAAAAACTTCGAAACAAACAAAATTATTATAGAGAGGTTTGACTGTACTGCAAATAAAATCCTTTTAGCCATAGGGCAATAGTCATGATGATAGAATTCGTTCTTTTGAGAGTACTGTATTTATTTTACCAACACCATGAGAGCAAGTTGGAAAAAGGAAGGGAATGATGAAAGCAAAAAGTGGGAAGATTTGTCCCCTGCAAATTGTCTGTTTTTTTTAGATTTGAGAAAAAAGAATGAAAATACATAAGAGATGTGTATTAAAGGATAATTGTTGAATCATTAATTCCAGCATACTGAACTCATGCAAGAAAAATCTAAAGAAATTGAGAGATTATGATATCTCGTCCACATAAATCTTTTCGCGATCGTTTTAGTTTAACTTATTTATGTGTCCACTAAAATTCAGTTCCTTTGACTCTCTCAACAATGAAAAATGTTTTTTTTCCAAACTAAAACAATATATAGAAGGTAATTAAATTGTTTCCTTTTCACTTTCTTCTTTATCTAATATACCAATCTTTAGTTTCTCCTCTCATGAATACCAATTTCTGGTTTCCAAACAAAAGGAAATTTAGAGCCCGTTTGGCCAAGCTGTCAAAAACTGCTTATTTTGAAAAGTATTTTTTTCCAGAATTGCTTCATCCATGAGTACTTTTGAAAAAAAATTAATTTGTGTTTGGCCAATTCATTTAAGAAGTACTTTTTGCAACATTTGGTAAATAAATTGTATTTAGCCGATCTTTCTAAAAAGTACTTTTAAGTGTCAATTTACCAAAAAGGATAGTATCAAGGTCTTATAATTATTTTAAAGAAAAAAATGAACTTAAATATTTATCGTAAAAGACCTTTATTATTTTTTATTTTATTTTGTTGAAATATAAAATATAAAGTAAACATACATATTAAAGATTTAAATCAATATAACATATATAATTATACCAAAGCATATAATATTATCTACTATAATAACTTATTGTTAACATGATGATTTGAATCATCAAAATACATCATTCAGTATGAATTAAAAGTGTATTTCACAAATTACTATGTATTGAGAATCAACCATGAAATAATAAGCAAAGTCACTCGCACATGATAACAGTTCTCAATAATTTCATCTTTAATTCTATCACACTACGCCTCGATATTAGTAGAGGACTTGCCTTGCATTTCTAAAAGAATATCAGAAGGCACATCTCCTTCCTCAATATCTACAGTAATGTCTTCATTAGCATAATAGTTGAATTCCTTATCGGTAGAAGAATCTCATCGGATGAAATATTGTATAACTATGGTAAGTGTAACAAGATAATCTGAGTGTCACACTTGAAATATGACATTGAGCGTAAAATAGAACTAATTTTAAATATATAAAAAATTATTATTTTTCGAAAAAAATAATAGTTAAGTATGTTTAAATTCAAATTCAAAAAGAGTAACTAATTATTAACAACGCATACTGCATAATTTAATTTTTTTTAAAATTTAAATTAAAAAAAAAACTAATCATTACCTAGCCTAACTAACTTTGTCCTGAATTACCAAGTGGCCTATTGCGAGGCTGCCATTTGGCTTCGTGTGGAGGCTTTTTCTTCTTCTTTTATTAATATGTTGTGATGACCCAAAAGGTCATCTCGCGTTTTAGAACCCAATTCGGGGTTCTGAGGTCTTCAAAATCTCATTTTCTTTTACCTCGATTTGCGTGCGCAGTCCGGTCACGATTCCGGAAAAGCCTTTATGTGAAAATTTGAGAAAATATTAAGTTTTGCCTTTAAAAATTGATTTAAGTTGACTTTGATCAATATTTTGAGTAAACGGACCCGGACTCGTGATTCGACGGTCTTGGAGGGTCCGTAGGAAAATATGGGACTTGGGCGTATGCCCAGAATTTAATTCCGAGGTTCCTAGTCCGAAAAATGAATTTTTGAAGAAAATTGTTAAACTGAAAATATAATGGTTTTTAGAAATTTAATAATGCTTTATGTTGTTGGTATCAGGCCCGTATTTTGGTTCCGGAGCCCGGTACAGGTTTAATATGGTATTTAAGTCATGTCTGTGAAATTTGGTAAGAAACGGAGTTTATATGACGTGATTCGGACCCTCGGTTGAGAAAATAGAAACTTTAAGTGTTCTTGAAAATTTTATTGATTTTAATGCTAAATCTGTAGTCTTAGATGTTATTTTGGCGATTCGATCGCACGAGCAAGTCCGTAGTATGTTTTTAGACTTGTGTGCATGTTTGATTTGGAGCCCCGAGGGTTCGGGTGAGTTTTGAATAGGCCACAGAGTGTTTTGGTCTTAAGGAAATTTTCTAGTATGTTGCAGGTCCGCAGACTTTGCATTGTCTGGATCGCAAATGCGAGCATCGCATTTGCGTTGAAAAAGAGGAAGGAAGGGGAGTCGTTCTCAGGTCTCATGTGCAAGCTGGGCCTATTATTTAGTGCTAGAAGCTAACCGCCATAAGCTCACCCTTCGGGTCTCGCTTCCAGCGCAGGAGGCCAAGCATTCTGCCAGACGTCCCGGCCTGGGAGCCCCGTTCGCCTTTGGTACTTCAGTAGATCAGCAAGCTTCTTTCCGACCAGACTGACCTAGCAAAGAAGTATCCCTTCGCATTTGCGATCAGGAGGCTGGGCAGGGGACCTTCGCATTTGCGAAGTTCATCGTCGCAATTGCGACTTAAACAGTGGCCGCATTTGCGAACAACTATTCGCATTTGCGAAGACAGCAGGCCAGGCCAAGCTTCGCATTTGCATAACATTGGCACATTTGCGAGTTCGCATTTGCAACCCTGTGATCGCAAATGCGATACCTCCAACTGTTCAAAACGAGTTTTGGACGGGATTTTCAATTCATTTCTCAAATTTTCAAACCCTAATCTTCAAGAGGCGATTTTCTAAAGAGCAGTTCTTCCCCAAATCAAGGTAAACGATTTCTAACTCATTTCTTTCAATCTATTTCATCTTTTTACAAGATTTCATCACAAAATCTAGGGTTTTTCATGGGGAAATTGGGTGTTTTTGGGTAGAATTTAGGAATTTCGAAATTTGGGGAGTTAGACCTCAAATTGAGGTCAGATTCCAAAACTAATTACATCTTTGGGCTCGTGGGTGAATGGGCAATCGGGTTTTGGTCCAAACTTTGAGTTTTGACCAAGCGGACCCGGGGTCGATTTTTGACTTTTTGGGGAATTGTTGGAAAATCTATAATTATGCATTAGAATTGGTTTCTTTGGCCTTAATTGATGTTAATAAGTTAACTATGAATAGATTCGGGCGTATTGGAAGTGGAAACTAAGAGGAAAGCGGTATTTGAGGCTTGAGTTTGGCCGTGGAATGGAGGTAAGTGTTGTGGCTAACCTTAGCTTGAGGGATTAGGTGTTGTTGCCTTACTTGCTACTTGTTTAGTTGTTAAGTACAATGTATAGGTGTGGTGACGAGTATATATACGTTGTTGTCGGGTCATATCATGCGAGTGAGTCCTATACTTGTGACCGTTGTGTTCCTTTATACGTATTGTTTCTGTTGAAACTAGCTATTACTCATGTTAAACAAGTCTTATTATGTTTTTCCTAGTTTGGATATTGGTTGAGTATTGGCTCAAGTTGAGATTTCTGTTGTGAAATTAAATGATGAAACGAAGTTGTTTGATTGTGATGCCCTTGCCGGGTTGTTATTGTTTCTGTTGTTTCTTATGGTGAGGAAGAGTGATAAAGCACGAAGGGTGATGTCGTGCACATTTCTATTATTCGTGTGGTGAGGAAGAGTGATAAAGCACGGAGGGTGATGCCGTGCACATTTCTATTATTGATTGCATGGTGAGGATTGAGAGTAAAAGTACGAAGGGTGATGCCGTGCATTTTCTGTTTGTTGTGTTTACTTCTTGTTATCGGTTCAAGTGTACTAGCTGTTTAGGTTCCTTTACTGCTAAGATTCTTTATGTTGGAACCCCCATAGTATGTTGCCCCTTCCCATTCATTTCTGCTTAATTTCTATTGCTTGTTATTCTGGTAGTATATTGTTTAACTGCACAGGTTTATATAGTTTGTCGTGTCCTAGCCTCGTCACTACTTCATCGTGGTTAGGCTCGGCACTTACCAGTACGTGGGGTCGGTTGTACTGATACTGCACTCTGCGCTTTCTGTGCAGATCCTGGTACTGGACCATACTGATCAGAGTTTGGGTTGCTTCCTTCAGTCCACAGGAGACCCAAGGTAGATATGCCGGCGTTCGCAGACCCTGGAGTCCCCTTCCCTCTATTTTAGATTCCCGTTTTCTTTTATTCCGAAAAACAGATGTATCTTCCTTGAAACCAGTGTTTGTAGAAATTGTTAGACGTTCGTGGATTGTGACACCAGATCAGTGGGGTAGTTGTGTTTTAGAGTTTTGAACTGATATAAAATTTTCGCACTTTATATCTGTTTAGCTTTAATTATTATTTATTAATGTATTGGTTAATGATTAATGTGTTAGCACCATATTTGTTGGCTTGCCTAGCATTCAAGAGTTAGGCGCCATCACGATCCCGATGGTGGGAAATCTGGGTCGTGACAAGTTGGTATCAGAGCACTAGATTTCCTAGGCCTCACAATTCACGGACAAGCTAGGTAGAGTC